AACAACATACCATTCCAAGTAACAGCTTATGCAGATGATATTACTATAGGAATTGGCTCAGTATCAGACTGGTCTAGCATCAAGCATGTTTTTGAGTGTTGGAGCTGAGAGACCACCTTGGTCATAGCTTAGTCGAAATATTGAGTATTGTGGTAGTGTTCTGGACTTGTTCTTGATCCATTTCACTATTAGTGTGTTAATCTTATTAAGTTGTTTTCTGGTCAGAGGTAAGAGGTATGCTAGGTACCAAATCTTTGAAATTAGTAATGTTTTGGCTACTAGAATTCTTCCTTTAAAGGAGAGATTTCTAAGTGATAAGTTTTCTATTTTTTTCTTGATCTTGTTTGTAAGGTCTTGTCACAAGTTTTTGTCAGGATTTCCTTTGGTATCTATTTTGTATCCCAGAATAGTGAAAGTGTTAACTGAATTTTTGTCAAGAATCTTGAACATTTCACTGTTTTGTAGGTTAACTACGTGTACGTTTTCTGTAATTGGGATTAGTAGTGATTTGGTTTTGTTAATCCTTGCATTTGATGCTAGCTCAAATATTTGTAGAATTGAGCTTAGCCTAGACCAGTCTGATACTGAGCCAATTCCTATAGTAATATCATCTGCAAAAGCTGTTACTTGGAATGGTATGTTGTTTACCAGGATTTCTCTCAGGTTTCTAGTGATTGAGAGAAGGAGAGGATTTATCGCTAAGATATAGAGAAGAGGTGATAGAGGGTCCTCTTGGCAGACTCCTCTTTCTACTCTGAAGGGTTCTGAAATTCTGTTGAAATCTATTATATAGGCTTTTTGTGCTGCGAATAGAGAGCTTATGATATTGATAAACTTTGCATCAAAGTTCATTTTTCTAAGTATTATCTCTATAAAGGCATAGTTGATTCAGTCAAAAGCTTTTTGCTAATCTAGAAGCAGTAACTAGTGTTATTTAGATTGGTCATATTGGTTCTTTAGCACTGTTATGATATCTAGGGCCACATCAGAAATCAATCTGTTTGCTATGAATCCTTTTTGAACTGGATCGATAATTGTATTGTATATTAGGTTTAAGTGATTTGCTAGTATTTTCATAAAGATTTTTGCATCACAATTAACTAGAAAGATCGGTCTTCAGTTGTTGATATCTTGTAATTCCAAGTTTTTCTTAGATATTAATATGATAAGGCTTTTGTTCTAAGAGTTAGGTATTTTGCCTGTATTCAGGATATTGTTAAAAAGATCTCTAAGGATAGATAAGATTATATCCTTGTTGTCTTTATAGAATTCATAAGTGAGTCCATTAGAACTAGATGATTTGTTGTTTGGTAAGTTATCAATTACATGATCTATTTCTTCTTCTAGCATGTTTTTGACTAGAGTTGAGTTTTGCTCTGTTAATACTTGTAGCATATTCTGAGTTATTTCCTCAGCTACATTATAGTCTATATCTTCAGTCTTGTAGAGATTTTGATAAGACTCTTTGATGTAGTTTATAACAAAATTCTGTTTAGCCCAGTCAGGATTATTGAGGTCTCTGATTAATGTACTGCAGGAGGATGAGTGTCTGGATTTGTAAAGATTAAAGAAGTATTTAGTTGATTTTTCTCCTTCTTCGATCTACTTTGCATTTGATCTTGTTTGCTATTTTTCAGATAGAATTATTGTTTGTTCTTGAAGTTGAGAGTTGAGGTTTTCTGCTACTAGGTGGAGTTCAGAGAGATTTGGATTTTTTGCTAAACTGTTGTTGATCTTGAGAAGTTTTCTCTGAATTCTGTGAATAGACTTTTCTGGAGGGAGCTTAGATTTGTATACTTTAATAATTGATTTAATAAAGCATTTATGTAAGTCCTATTCTTTTGTATCTTGTAACTTTCTAAGTTCATTGTTTATGTCCATTTTGATTTCAAGAAGAAGTCCAAGTTTTCTGTTGAATCTTCAGAGACAGGAGTTTCTATGTACTTCTTTAAGTGCAAGTTCACTCTCAACTAAAAGGTGATCAGAGTTACCATAATGAGTGCAAGTATTTTTATATATATAGGCTTAGTCATGTTAATGAAGATATAATCCAGACATATGGCTATTAGCTGGTTGTTGCGTATGTGTTGGTGAAAAGTGATAAAAGGTAATTCTTTTGAGAAAATAGCAGAGTTTTCAAAATTCTGCATTAAGTTTTCTACTAATTTTCTTAAGGGATCACTTTGTATTTCAGCTTGGCTTATGCAGTTTTTGTTTAGATTTAAGTTAGTGTTGAAATCTCCTGCGATTATATTGATATATCCCTCTACTTCTAAGGGAGACTAATTGTTAAAAAAGGTTATTCTATTCTCTAAGCTTGGTGATGTGTATATATTTGTGAGAATAAAAGGTTGTTATTTTATTTCTGTTCTTGCTGAGATTATTCGACTATCATGGGATTCATAATCTCTAAGTTTGATATTCTTTTTGCTAGCTAGAATAGCTGTTTTAGTAGACCAGAGAGAGTCATAATTCCATTGTTAAGTTAGAAATCTTCTTGTATTGCTATCGCTAAGATTTGTTTCTTGAATTATATTTATATCAAGATGATATGATTTTAGTAATGTTAGTGTTTTTTAAGCTTTAGATTTGTTATTCAAACCCTTGACATTGAGTGTAGCTATTTTAATCATTTGTGAATATAAGAATATTTGCTACACTTGTTGGTATGATACTTAATTTAGATGGTTCTGAGGACTCTTTGTAGAGTCTTCTTTTTCATGTTCCATTGCAGTAGAGGTTTTCTTGTTTTTGTCAGATTTCTTACATTTTTTTGATATTACAGCTGTATAGGAGACATCTTTCATTTCATTTTCTTTATCATGATCTAAGTTTGGAGTATTATCTACCCTTTCCAGAGTTTTTATGACTTTGTCTTTAGTTTCTTTTTTTTCAGTAGTTTGCGAAAGAGTTTTTGAGTCAAAAAGGTTGTCAGAAGTATTTTGGTTTTCTGTAACTGGGGTTTGAGAAGATTCTTCTGCAAGCTCTGCAATGTATAGATTGTCTGCACTAAATTTGACTTCAGTGTTTGAATCTGGTGTATGTGTATTTTTTTGGGTCTTCTGTTTTCTTAGAAGTTTCCTAAGCTCAATTGATGCTCTTAGTTCTTCACAATCCTTTTTGAGATAACTCTCTTTCTTACAGTAATAGCATATTTTGGAAGCATCCTTCCAGTCAGTTGTTACTTTGTGGTCTCCAACATGAGTGCTTCTAGGAAGTCTTGAAGTTGGCTCTGAGTCTTCAGTAGTTTCAAATACAATCAACTATTAGTCGGAGCATATATTGGTACCTTTGAAAAGAAGAAGCTTGATAGAAATGATAGAGCCAAAATCCTAAAATACTTCTAGAATGAGATTATTGATTTCTTTGGTATTGCCTATTGGTGCATTTCTAATTTTAACTGATAGAAAGGTATGTTTTAAGTTTATTGAGATGTATCCAAACAGGGTTTGTTTAAAAAGTGGGATTCTTTCAGTGAGATAAAGTTGAAGCTTGTGTCTATTCTGTAAGATCACTTCTAAGAAAGCACGTTTTCCTCTCAAGAAGTAGAATTTTGCTACAATAAGGTCTTCTCCTAGTTTAGCTGCAAGTGCAGAGATAATTTTGATAGAAGAGATGTTGTTTAGGACTTGAATATCAATAATTAAGGTGTTCTTATTTTTAGAGTGAAGTTTGAATCTGGAAGAGGAGTTATTGTAGATAGCTTTGCCTTCTTTAAGCTTAGGGAATAAATCAGACTACTACTTGTTCTTTGAGTTATTGATTCCTTTGTTGTTAGTTTGGTCTGAGTTAGTAGATGTAGGTGATGTTGACACAGAGGTACTAGATTCATGATGATGATTATCTGCTAAGCCACTTGAAAAGGTCATGTGTCTTTTGTTGTTTTCAACTTCTATTGTTTTGTTTTCAAGATGACATGTCTTGTTTTCTTTAGAAGAGAGACTTTAGTTTTGTTCTTTTTGTTTTTCTGTTTCATTTTTTATCTCAGCTGCTCAGTTAGAAGCTTCTTTTAAGACTTGTTTGTTTTTTTGTTATGTGTTAGATAAAGTCTTATTACTTTCTGTTTGTTTCTCATTGATATTGTCTTCTTGAATATTATCTGAAAACAAGTCAAAGATTTTATTTTTTGCATTAGAGTGAGTTGTTTTGATTTTTTTGCCTTTTTGAGTACTGCGAGAGGCTATATTTAGTTTTCTTTTCTTAGGCACTAAAGCCCTATGTTCCTTAAGTTGTTTGTGAAGTGAACTTGCAAAGTTTGTAATATTTGTTTTTGTTTTTTATCTGGTACGTGTGGTGTATCAGAAAGAGTTTTTTTTTTATGATTTCTTTTTCTAGGTAAGTATTTTTAATAAGAGGTTTTCATCAAAAGACACACTCTTACACTCTAAGGATATGTCTGGTAGTTTAAATGCTCTGATAGAAAAATATTTTGTTCAGGTTGTATATTAACTTGTTCATTAATTAATACAAATATTTGGTTATTAGATTGACATTGTTAGAGTTGATTCAATTGAGCAAAATTATGTTGGTTAGGAATAGTATTGTTAACAGGATTTTGGGTTTGTTGAGTTTGAGGTATTTGTTGTTGAGCAGTTTGAACTTGTAGTTGAAAATTCAGTTAGTTTATTCCTAGCATATTTTGTGAAGTATTTTGTACTTGATTATTTTGAATATTGTTATCATTCAAAGGACAATGTCAAGAAATATGTCCTTGTTGTCTACATTTATAACAAGTAGGTATATTTTGTTAGTTATAACATCTATTATTATTATTATTATCATAGTTATTATTTCTAGGCTGATAATTATTTTGACAATTTTGATTATTAGAACTTCTATAATTATTAGAAGGTTGGTTTGTATTATTTAAGTTAACATTTCTAAGAGCTTGGATTAGTCCATTGAGAAGTTAATTTAAGTTAGTATTATTATTGTTTTGTTGTAGAGTAGAATTATAGTTTTGAGTACTAGGATGGAGTTTATACTTGGTTGGCAAAATCTATTTAAAGCTTTAGGATATGCTATATTATTTTCCTCCATTTGTCGAGCTGCTTCAATAGCCTGTTCTATAGTAACATTATTGTGAAATATAAGATGTAGTTTTAATTGAAAAGCAATTTCACATCGAAGTTCTTTAGTAAAGTTATAAACTTTATTATTTTTAGCCCAATTATTTTGATAATTAACATGTTTAATTAGACATTTAATATCCAAAGCATACTGGTCAACAGATTCAAAGGGTCTTTGAACTCAATTTTGTAATTCACTTCTCCATTGTAAGAGTTTTCCTTGAGTACAAAATTTGTTTAAGAAAAGATTTTTGAAGTTTTGATTTAAATTATTAGACTACGATTAGAAGTTAGTTCTAGCATTTCTACTAATATGGGTATGCCAGACTTGAGCTTCATTTTGTAAGTACCCTCTTATAACTAATAATTTATATTTATCTATATATTAGTTAATAGTTGCACACAATTCAAAATCTTCAAGCTATTTTACAGGATCCTGTAATCCTTCTATAAATGTTGGCATAGATACATTATTTCGAATAGCAAGTTGATTTGTTAAAGCTTAAATAGTTTAGGTAAATGCCTGCTATTGGTTTATATTGTTGTTATTTGTATTGGTATTTATATTGTTTTGGGTTTCAGATTCACTATTACTTAAATATTCAAATTCAGTTGTTGTAGAATCAGAAGTTGTATAATTTTCAAAGTCAGAGAAAAAATTTAAGATTTCCTTGTATATAGTAAAGTTCTGGATGTGATTTAGACAATTTAAAGTTAAATTGATGAGTGTATCTTTATTTTCAAAAAATTAAATCTAATGCTTTCAAATATTTGATTAAGGTAAATAGTTCGAATAGTTTGTTGATTAGAAGTTAATAATAAATTAAAAGTTTTAATAGTTATATGAGAAAAGAAAAATGCAGAAGAATTTAAAGAAAACCAATTCAAATTGGTTTGAGCAAAAATCAATAGAAGGGAGAGTATAACAAAATGTACAAGAAGTATCTAAAAAGAGATCAAAAGTAGGAGATAAATTTAAAGTTTCTACTGGGTTTTAGTGAAAATAATTGTAAATATTAATTAAGTTACGCTGAGTATTCCAATTAAACATAAGAATTTAACTACCTTATAGGAAGCACCAATTTTGTCAAGCACTAAGCAGACAATTTAAAGAAATAAACTAAATAATACTCACAATTCACACAGAATTGCAGAAATGTTCCAAAGTATTTAGATAAGATCACACAGATATGACTAACTAAATACTGAACAAAAGAATAAATAAAAGAAAAAGGTGAGTTCTTTATAGTTTAAAAAAGTGTTTTAATACATCAAGTAAACTTGTCAATGTTAACAAGATATATTGTTAAAGTAGGTTACTGATATAAATTTGAGGTCATTTATA